TCATGTTGGTCTGCAGTAGAACAGCTAGGTTCAGGTCTAGTAGCACCTTAGAGACCAACAAGGTTGGGAGTGGGTGGGTTATAATAAAGGGAGATTTAACTCTTGAAGGCTTATATCCCCAAAATCTTATTGGTCTCTAAGGTGCTACTGGACTTGAATCTAGCTATTCTATTTCCAGAGATCATTTGTGTCCTTTCTGTTGATTCTGAGACAGTTGGCTGATTTCGCACTAGAGCTGCCTCGATGTTGCGCCACCGTTTGCCCCCCGATACTGTTGGTCAATTTCACACCCGAAGCTGTGGGGCTGCATTTTGACTTGCGACTTCTCCCGATTTCCCCCGCAGTTTCGTGATCCTGTTTTTTGAGGATCACAAAACTGCGGAGGAAATTGGGCGAAGCCGCGGGTCAAATGCAGCCCCGCGGCTTCGCGTGTGAAATTGGCAAATGGTGGCGCAACATTGAGGCAGCTCTAGTGTGAAATCAGCCAGTTGATTCTTCTGTCTGCTCTGGTGTACTTGTGATAGACACTAAAGCTAATCACTTCTGTCATAGGGAAGTCGTTTGGCTTCCAAGTGTGAGGCATTTAAGGAACATGTCCTGCCACTCCAAGCTTGGAACCTCTTCAGCCAGGAGTTCTCAGGAATAGTAGGATTTAATCCTGTATTTGATGTTAACGCTGTTCTACCTAGTCTAAAGTGCCTAAATTATTTCCTATAGTACCTTCTTTTAAATTTTATTTAATAACCAGGCATGTTTGTACATTCCTTGCAAAATTACAAGTTGACATCAAAAGTAGGGAAGCAAGGCTTGCAAACTAGATGTGTGTGTATAGTTAGGCAGAGGCTCTTTGCTCATCCTGTGTCCTGAGTGAGTTCTTAACACTTTTATTTAGGACAAATAGGTTTTTTTTAATTTTCAGATGAGTTAGGGAGAATATCTGGGACTACTGTTACTCCTCATTTTAAAAAGATAAGATCATTTCATCTTAGAGATATGTTCATCGTACAGGAGTGGATGGGAATTAATTTGATAGATGAATAAACATTATTGGGATTTTATTCCGGGGCTAGAATTATTTTGCAAAAAAGTACATTTGTAACATTATAAATAATAGTACCATTAAAAGAAACTGAGAACGATGCACCTTTGGTCAATCTTTCTGAGTTGTTTGTCAATAATAAAACCAGAGGTCATTTCGGGGGGGGGGGAACGCAGGGGAACACAGTTCCCCCGGGTGAGGTACGGGGGGGCACATGATGAAGCCCCGCCCCCTGCTTCCGGCCGCTGCGGGAGGGCGGGGCCTGGAGCTCCCTGCTGGTGCCCGCTGGAGGTCGCCACCGGCTGTGGGGAGGACACACTTCCGGTGATGTCAGGGGGTGTGGCATATGCTAATGAGTTATGCTAATGAGTTCCCCTAGCTCTTTTTCTACGAAATGACCCCTGAATAAAACATAAAATATATTTTAACTTCAGTAACCAGGAAGAGTATATTTGAAACACTGAGTATTTGCTGTTTGTTCAGGGAACTGTGAAAGATGGCCCTAACAATTAGGAAGGAGAAATATTTGGAAAGTGGGCTATAGGTGGACTGGATAACAAAATAGTAATGTATGCGATGCAGAACTTCTTGCATTGATTAAGTATTTATGTAAATTCCAGTGTGGGTCTACCTGCACCAAATAATATTTTAAAGGGTGCAACATAATCTTATTATCTCTCTTATATATAATTGTCGAATGGTGGTGGCTTCTGTCCTATGGGGTGGTGAGATTGCATGTCCTCCCTCAGCCATTGGCCTGTCGGCTGCCAATCAAGACTACTGGCGTGCCATTGGCCGGGTGTGCTCCTCTTCCCCGCCCACTCCCCTTTCAGCCACTGTGGTCTGTGTCAGAAGCACCGTGTCTCCCGACGAACACAAATTCTCTTGCTTAGCTCCTGTCTGGGACAAAGGTTTCCCTCAGTGGCTGTTGTGAGGAACTCATAGGGTTGCCAGATCCAGGTAAGGAAGCCTGTTTAAGGAAGCCACAGTTTGGGGAGGGGGGAGGCCTCAGCTGAATAGAATGCCATAGAGGCCGCCGGCCAAAGCATTCTAACTTCTCCCTCAGTGGCTGTTGGTAGGCAACCAAACTTGGTTCTTGCTGAGTCCTTCTGCCCTCCCCAAACACTGCCCTTCGCAGGATCCACCCCCCAAATCTCCAGGTATTTCCCTACTCAGAGCTGGGAAGCCTCCTTTCCCCTCAGTGCCTGCTACTGGTCAACCAAGCTTGGTTTCTGTCAGTAAAAGGCCCTTTCCATACCTATCTGGGCCTTGGGAGAAAACTCATTGTGTCCTTCTACCTGCTGACAGGCCCCTCCCCCCGTGACGGTCAAGGTGACGTGGCAGTCAGGGCTTCAGAGCACACTGGAGGCTGCAGGTGGGGGGAGATTGAAATCTGAACAGTGAGGGGGAAATAAAGGTAGCTTGATGGTTGGCTGGGAAGGAGATAGGGTTGCCAACTCCAGGTAGAGGCTGCAGGTGGGGGGGATGGACAGCTAATCAGTGAGGGGGAAATGAAGGTAGGTTTATGCTTGGCTGGGAAGGAGATAGGGTTGCCAACTCCCGGCAGAAAATTCCTGGAGATTTGAAGGATGGAGCCTGGAAAGGGTGAGGTTTGAGGAGCGATGGGACCTCAGACAGGTACAGTGCCATAGACTCTGCCCTCCAAACCAGCCATTCCCTAATGGGGAACCACTGTTGCCAATCTCCAGGTGAAGGATGGAGATCACTCAGAATTTCAAATGGTCTCCAGATGGCATTGATCCTTTCCCCTGGAGAAATGGTGGACTCTGTGTCCTTATACCCTACTGAGGTTGCCATGGCAAATTGATGCTGAGTGTCCATGGCCTTGGCACTCTCCCAGAGCCTCTTTCTAGTGCTCATTGTCTTTATTTCCACACTGGGCCTTATTCCTAGTCTAGAATACTAGGCAATTTGGAATACCAATATTTGTAGTAAATAGAATTCCAAGAGGTGCAGTTTTTATTGGGCAGTATCTGAAACTATTGATAACTATATAGTACTGGGTAAATGGTGTTTTGTTAAAGATTTGTCAAAGGTTTAGTTAGTATTTCCACTAAATCAATGAGTTCTTTGAACTCTAAATGTTGGTGGACAGCTTTGAGCTTACTGCCCTAAAACATTATTTGGCAAAATGATTTGTTTTACAGTTTCAATTCCAATTATGTATGCTGTCAAAAAGTGCAAATGGGAATCTGTGTTAATGAAGTAGAAAAAACAGTTATCGGTTGACAAGACAAAATATCATTTTTTAAATTTTAGACTGCTTTTTGTTGTATGATTGTACTACTTTTGTCATTTGTGTCTTATAATTACACTACTGCACATTGCAATGTTATGCTTTGGCTTTCAACTTTCCTTTTTTGCTGCTCTTTCTTAAATTTTATTTTTTAAATCAGTTTTAAGTATATTAATTTTGTTGAGAGACTAAAAGAAATATAGTAGTAACTCAGAAGATGACAATATCCTTACAAAACTTATATCTGTATCGTTTACTAGGTTTATAATAATACTAGGAATGCCATTAATTATTATATGTTCCCTGCATTCAGAATTTTGTTTGGGTATCTGTCTTTTTACATCTGCCTGTACTGAAGTTTAAAGTTACCTTTCTCAATACTTTTTAATCAAGACTTGGAAGCGTCACACTGATCACACTTGATAAATAGGGTATTGGAGCCAACATGTTAGTATTATGATTCAGCTTTCCAAGTAAGACTGGCTGTAGCTCCTCAGTACCCTTACTTTTGCTCCATTATACCTTTTTTTTAAAAAAATTCCCAAATGCATTTACAACTTAAATGCACTGTAGGTAAAGGTAAAGGTTCCCTTGCTCGGAAGCTAGTCGAATCTGACTCTAGGGTTGCGGTGTTCATCTCCGTTTCCAAGCTGAAGAGCCAGCGCTGTCCGAAGACGTTTCCGTGGTCATGTGGCCAGCATGACTAAACACCAAGGTGCACGGAATGCAGTTACCTTCCCACCGAAGTGGTACCTATTTATCTACTTGCAATTTCTTGCTTTCGAACTGCTAGGTTGGCAGGAGCTGGAACTAGAGATGGGAGCTCACTCCATCATGCGGCACCCAGGTCTCGAACTGCTGAACTACTGACCTTCCACAGCCTGCAGTTCAGCATCTTGACCACTTGAGCCACCGCAGCTAGGTAGTTCATTGCAATAAATAATAAAACTTGTTATTGCATCATTAATAAATACACAAAAGAAATTCCATGCTTATTTCATTTGTAAAATCAGCAACAAACCATACATGTTGGAAATGGAAAACTAAAATGCCTTGGAGAGAGTTCTCTAAAACACCTGGCATGTTGTAAGGGCTTCCTGCCTTGTGACAATGTTATTGAAATACCATGTAGTTGGTCTAGGTTGAGCTACGATAAACTAAATTGTAGTGCAGTGAACATTACATATGAGTATCTGGCATATATGATTACATCTGAAATTTTATCTCCCTATTACTATTTGGTTTTTTAAATTTTAGCTTGCATCCAGTAGCCATTTTCTGTTGTCAAAAGGGTGCTTCCCCTTTGTTCCAATTCTCTCTCCAGACCCCCCCCCCCATGCTGTTCTAGGGGGGAATACTCTGCACCCCTGGAGTAGTGAGTGTGTGTTAGAGAGTCCCATTCCATCAGTTTTGTTCCATTCATGGATCTTGTTGAGTACAAGCCAGTATTCTCTTTATAAAACTTTTATGTATCTTCTCTGCCTTTATCTGGAGCCTCCAGTGGCATCCCATTGAAGGTAGTGATCACCTTGTCTTCAGCAAATGCTGCATTGTCTCTGAGCTCTTCTTCATTTAAGCTGCTTCTGAGCTTCATTTTTATTCTTGTTAGCATTATGGCTTCTTATTTGAAATCTAACTCAATGGAAGTCTTCACTTAACTTGTTATCATCCTTTCTCTAAACTGGCATTTGTGTTTATCTGCAGGACCGCACGAGAACTTTTGACATGCATTCACTGGAGAACTCACTAATTGATATAATGAGAGCTGAAAACGACTCACTGAAAGGTAAACTTAGATTAAGATCATTTTGTAGTAAATAAGATGACATAATTGTGCAGAATATGAAATATGAGTACTTTTCAGAATACTTAAGGCAGCTGCTTTACCTTACTACATACAGGTTGGTTAAGTGAGCCTGCCTTTTCCATTTGTCTTAAAAGGAAACTGTTGGTATAATGTTTGTCTATATCTAATGTTTTTCTTTCCATACAGAAGTTTAAAAACCCAGGCCATGATTGTCAGTGCTCATTGCTTCAAGTTTGTAACATTTTTAACTTTAAGTTGCTTATCTAATGAGAGCCAAAATTTACTTAGCCAGCTGATAATTTCTCTTTAATATTTAGTGAATTCATATACTCTGCCCAGTCTTTTTTTTCTAGAATAAGTTGCAAGGTTTGTTAGAATACTGAAGATTTTGTTGAAGCATGGGGGTGGAACATTGGAGCTAGTCCTTGGGCTATGTCAGTAGTGCTTGTCTCATAAACTGGAGAAACAAGTGGGTCAAGCATATATCTACTATAGAACTTTATTACCTTTGGTTTAGATTAAAATAAAATTCTAGACTTTATTGTCAAGGGTCTGGCATATAATGAGGTACAGTAAGAATTAAATGAAATGTTGTAGCTCAGGTAATAATGAGCATGTGAAACCTGATGTCTGTATACTCCAGTGAATTTGCTTTGGTGTGTCTCAGCATTATGGGAAACATAGTTCCCATGTGCCAGTAAACCTACTCCAAGATCTCTGGGTGTGTGCCTGCCTATGTTGACAGATGAAATCTAGCAGCCATGATTCCCCTGCGGTTTAGCGGGAGAGGTACTTTTTAGTCCATGGGAACTACATTTCCCATTATACTGAGTAGTCCAGGCATGCTTGAGTCTCAGAATACACTGAAGTTTAAACAGGAGGATTAGGGCCCCTAGCACCACTCATACTTTGACTTGGATCCTGCAGTAATTTTCTGCCAATAGATGGCTAATGGAAGGTAGTTCCATTCATGAATGTAAAGAATGAATAAATGTCTTTGTCTAACAATGCAAATAATGCTGTTGCCACTTTTATCAACCAAAAAAATCAACATTGGGAGATTTATGAAACTAATCTTTCTGTTCAGATAGTGGTTTGAATCAAAACATAGCAGAAACCGAATGTCATCCGATTCATTTTTCTTGCTTTGGGTCAGCATTTGAGCAATAATCTTAAATTACAAGTCTTGGGGTTTCATATGTCTGGCCTTTTATTTATCCACTTTGTCCAGAGGCTTTTGTTCTAGTTTGTTACTGACCTTGGGGTGACTAGAACAGATTTATAGTCTTCCTTGAACGTAAATTTTTTCTATTGCTGATGTTGCTGCTAGTAATGGAATTAACTCACACTTTAATAGTGCTTCTTGTCTAGAAGAACCCTCAAATGCTTGACAGACTGGCTGGCCAGAGTTTCTCCAACCCACTTCTGGGGTGAAAAGCAGCAGCTATTAATGTCACTAAACCCACACAGAGATTTAGGGTGGGGAATAAATTATCTGGGTAAAACTTGTAGAGTTAACCTCAGTAGCAGATTTTTTTTCTCTTGAGAGAAATAGAAGCCAACCCAGGCTCAGCAAGTTTCCAGTGCCGAAGCTCAGCTTTCAAACATCTGAAGGAGAGCATTAACATATGGACATGTTACATCATATCCAAGAACAACAATTTCTCATCTCCTTCTGTTCTGCAGGCATATGCTGAAATCAGGCATATAATTTATCTTCTCTGTAGGATGGTCTTTACACAGTTAATGTAATTTTTGCTTCAAGTAGTGTTTGATACAGGCGACTTATCATGACCAGAACAGTAGTAGAATGCCTTCATTGTTTAGTTTCAAATGTGTCACTGGGTCCGGTCCAAGAACATTTCAGAAGACACTAGACCTAGAATTTTAGTCTCCTATATAGTGCAGTGGTTACTTTGGCTGGATCCAGAGATGTGGAAGTGGACTTGGTCCATAAATGGTCTTAGCACGGTTCTGCTTCTGCATGATCTTGCTTTTTCCCCTATGTATTATAGTGCCCAGAAATTAGCTGCATGAGATCTTGGGCAAGTGAGGATATGATAAGGACCAAAGTAGACATGACACCATCCTCATGACCAGTTGGATGCTGTCACTGTGTTGAAGTGTTTTTAAAATGCCCCCAAGGACCCCATTTTGATTGGGCCTGCAGCACGGTGGGCTGAGGGGTTTTGTTGTCTCCCTGCACCTCTGCAAGAGCCAAAAATGGCTGCCCCACAGGGCTGTTTCAGCATGTGAAGGGGGAGGGGAAGAATGCCAGGCCCTTGTAGTATTTTCAAATAGTGTACTTTAAAATGGTGATGACATCTTTATGGCATCATCACCATAGGGATGTCATGTCTCACGTGCCCTTCAGTTTGACTTAGTGAAAACAACTGCTGCCATCTGTTTCTTGTGTTTCCACTTGTGAAAGAGCTCTAGCACAAAAGGAAATTTTGTGCTAGGTCTACCCCCCTCGGTCTTCTCCTTCAGTGGGGGAAGTAATCCAAACTGGTTAGGTCATGCCTCCTCTCTCTCCAGGCAGGGCTATGCAAATTTTTGTATGCCTTTCCAGGACACAGCGAGGGTGCCCTTCTAGTTTGAACAGCCTTGCTGCTCCAGCAGGTCACCAGAACTTAGCTCCATTTACTGAGAGTTATTAAAGTGAAAATCAGAGGCAGGAATATCTCACTGATCTATATGGAGGGAGAATCTTCTAGGAAGGTCCAAGGTTCTGGACCTCAGAAGAATAAAAGTTTCTCAAAGGAGAAGCCCTCCAAGTCTGAGGCTTTGGGCAGGGGAGAGGCATTGCCAGGTTCCAGGGCGCCAGCGGCAGTGGGTAGATTAGCAGGGGCTGAGGTTTCAGATCCCTCGTTGACCCTCCCAACAAAGGCAGTAGCAGCATGGACCTCTTTCCTACTTCACAGGGAAGTGTTGCGAAAGTTAGAGGCAGCCATGGAAGAGTGCTGGCACACAGAGACAGAGGCCACTGTCATGATGGACAATCCACGAGGGTTGCTAATCATGATGCAGGTGGTGAGACAGCCATCGTTCAAGGGCTCCAGGGGCTAATCGGGGGCCCTTTACCTACCCAGGCCAGGACCACAGGCTGGGGTTTCTTGCATTGGGCGGCTTTCCCTTCATACAGGCCATATCTATTCTAAAGGGCCTGGCTGTGGCTGTGGGAGTTCCCAACATGGTGGGTGTGCCATATGTTCCCACCTTTTTCAGGCAGTTGCAAGTGGACTGGGTAGCTTGGGCTTGGAGGCCGACATGGATGCACCTGCACAGCCTACATGCTATCCACCCACCAGTCAGAAGCTGAGAGGGCGGCAGAGTCAGCTGAGAACTGCTCAGGGACAGGAGTTCTGAGGTTCTGAAGGCTCGGGGAAGGGGTGTTAGGGAGACTTCTCTATCTAAAGGCACCCCTGTGAACAAGCGTCCAAGGAAGGTTTAATGGAAATGTAGGCAGCACTCTGACTCAGATTCAGAGATGAAAGAGGTTCAGTTCACCAACACTTCTGTCATGATTACCTCAGATAAAGAAGGAAAATGGTCAGGGGGGAGGAGTCTGATGCCAAGGACAGCTCCTCCAGGCTGTTTCAACAGGAGCACTTTCAAAGCCTTCTCAAAAACTAGTTTGGAGTCGATGAAGAAGCCTGCATCAACCTCCTCCAATCTAGACTCCAGGGGTTTCAAGAAGCTGGTATAATGCTTGGTGGTTTGCCTCTTTCCTGAATTTTTTGACGACGTACTACAAACCGAGTGGTCAGTTCTGTGAATTCTTTTGCCAAAAAATGTTATGCTCTACCAGAAGAAACAATGGAAGTCTTAAAAGTTCCATCGGTGGACGCTTTGGTGGTCACTCTACACTCAGGTGTGGTGTTATCAAAGGATGGTGAAAATTTCTTGAGGTATTCTATGGATAGAAAGAATGAAACCATGTTTTAGAAAGCGCATGAGGCATCCTCATTAGCAATTAGGGCTTCTGCTGTTCTCTCAAATTTCTCATGAGCAATCGTGTTGTGGGCAGACAATCTGTTGCAAGATTTTCAAGAGGTCCCTACTAAAAATGAAATGAGCAAGCCCAGTTCACGGCTGATGCCTTCCAAGACACCATCCAATTTTGCACCAGAGCACAGGCAGCTAATCTAGTGGTAAGGCGGAATTTGTGACTCAAACACTGGAAGATGGACCCACTGTCTAACCTGTCAGCAGAAAGATTTTCAGGACAACTTTTATTCGGAGAAAGAGCATTGGATAAAATACTTGAGGAAACCAAGGAGAAGAAGAAAGCAATGTTTTCCACACCAGCAAACAAAGAGTATAAAGGGAAGCCCTTTCGGTCCTTTTGATCATACAGAACCTCTGCAAGAGGCAGAGACACCAGAGACTTCAGGAGTGGTCACTCTTCAGTTATCAATCAAAATTTCAGTGGAGACATCTTATCTCTAGGCAAGCGACAAGACAGAGCCATCCCTGGAAAGAAATCCTCAGTGTGACTTCAGGATGGGGGGGGGGGGGGGGGCACAGGCCTGGAAGGGAGTTACCTCAAACCACTGGGTCCTGTCAGTTGTGGAATTTGGCTACAAAATAGTGTTCATCTCACTCCCTTCACATTAATTTGTTTCGTCCCCAGTCCCTTGCAAGAATACAAAAAAGAGTCTTTTGTGAGAAGCGATCTAGCACCTCCTCCCAATTGGGGCAATAGAGCCTGTGCCTGTTCCTCAGCACTTCAGAGGTGTCTATTGTGTTCTCTTTATAGCACCCAAGAAATCGGGAGAATGGAGAGTGATTCTGAACCTCAAAGGTTTCAATCTATCGGTTCAGAAACAGAAGTTCTGTATGGAATCACTTCGAGCAAGGCTGTGCAAAAAAGACGCTATAGCTATATAAAGTAGATATATTACATACAAATAATCATACAAAATTCTACTATGTAATAAATTTCAACAACCATACAGGTACAAATAATGAAGTCA